CGAGTAGGTAAGAATGGCGAATAGTAAGTTAGTGATCTCGACTTCAAGTCTCAGTGTAAAAGAGGTTTCTTTTATCTAGCACTGCACTGAGTGCTCACTTGGTAAAGACATAGCGCTTACCGTAATCCTTCTTTTCGTTCGCTCTTTCCTCATTTCTTTTTGAATGTCGCCACGTTACGCGAATAGCAGACATCCTCTGAGTGATTAGTCATATCAAAACAAAAAATCCCTCTTGGATATCGTAAAGGTTTTATGTGGCAACATGATAAAGTTAAGTGAATAAATAAACAGTGTTAGACGAACTGACGTATAATATTTATGCAGTTGATGTTCTCAAATCTGAACTCTTTTTTACACCCTCCTACACTTATGGGAAAAGGGAATATGGAGTTTGCGCGTATGTATGCAACAACCAAAAGAATTTAACGTAGATCCATCTTTCAGTCTATAGATCAATTCAGAATCATCTTCTGAATGAATTCAACCTTAACTATTTGCCCGTCCATCCGTCCGTCTGTCCATCTAAGGTCTACGCATGTATTTTTATCGGCAATGAACAGATCGCAGTTGTTAAAGCTTTGATTGATTGTGTGTTAGCCCAACGACCAATCTTATCGCAACTAATTCGGATCGGACCACTTTTTCGATCCTTTCCCCACGTAATGTCTTTATTTGAGTATATGAATAATTAAAGGCGAGCCGTGACCAATTATAATTCACTTTAAAAAAATGTCTATGTAATTTTTCGTATTTTTTTTTCTGTTCGTTTCGTTATTTCTTTTTTTTTTCTTTAATTTTTAGCTAAGAAACATTGTTACATCGTGTCGTTACCTCAATTTTACGCATTGAAATTTTAATTTCGACTTTTTCTGGTTCTCCGTCCTCTCTAGGTGGCAATATAGTTCGCTCAATTTCGGGTAAATCCATAGGTAACTCCTGTATCGAAATAGTGAAGTCTTCATCTTCATATTCCTCCTCATCCTCTTCGGGTATATGACAAATATTATCAAACTGAATGAAACTCATTTTGAAGCTTTAATACACAAAAACACTCGCTTTTCCAATAATAATAAAATTTCTTTATAAATGGTTTTTTTTAATTTTTTTATTTAAATTATTTTTGAAATATTTGCTTTTCAGGAAATCACTATTGACGATGTCAACAATATGCAGACGATACAGAACACACGTTCAAGGTATAATGAATACTTAATAGAAACAATTGAAAATATTTTTAATTTTTAGATGATTTTTCTGCTTTTGAGTTCATTTCATTTTTGGTTTCTTTTAATTTTCGTTTTTCTTTTTGGCAAACAAAAAAAACAAAAAAACAATAACAAAAACAAAAAAAAAATGTTTTTTCCTACAAGCAAAAAAAAAAAAAGAATAAATCTCTTGCATGCACATCTATCTACCCATCAATTTGTGTATATGTGTGCAAGAATTTCTTTTTTTTTTTTTTACATAATATTTTCATTATTCAGAAAGAATAAATAAACAAGAAGAAAAACTATGCAATATTAATGTTCTCATCATATGTTGTTAAGCGTTTAGAGCCTTAATCAGTCAGTCAGTCAGTTAGTCGATCAGCTGATTGCTTGGTTTCCTTCAATATTTTAATTCAAAAAAAAAAAAAAAACAAAAAAAAAAATTCTACACTTCATTAATTTCAAAGCATTCGTTACTTGTTATATTTGAAGAAGAAAAAGAATCATAAGCAAAAATATTTACAAGGATGCCCAGAAGAGTATCTTTAAAATGCATTAACCATAAATATAGGGAAAATAATTATTATATTATTTCGTAGCATTTTTTCACTTTCAATATTCATTATATTCACATTGTATTTATTCAACCAGCAATCGCTTGCTTTAACATCATGATATCTTTACACATATATATGCATACATAAACGACAATATGCATCTATATTGCTGTTGTTGTCAAACACAGCAAAGCCAACAGAACAGCAACAAGTTCAAGTGCAAGGTATGCAGCAAAGAATAATACAAAATGTCATTACAATATGCTTTTGTTTAATTAACAGAATATATGAATGAATGAATCGATGAGAGAACTGAGCAAACATTAAAGCAAACTTTAGACGTATACGTATATATATATATACATATATATAGAGTATATATGTATATAGTATAGGGACAATGTCCACAAGCGTTAAAGCGTTTTATAAGTACAGACGATGCAGTTGTTTTTGTAAATGTTAACTAAAACTAAATTCTCATTACTTATAGGCTATCGTTTCATCAGCGACATTTAGAAATAGACATCACCTACCCTATAAAATATATAGAAATTTTCGATTCAGAGTCGTTCGTATGCAATTGGTCTTGGAAAGGTTAAGTAAAACATCCAACTGTTAAAAGTAGGCATCAATAAGACTTAAAGACATATTCCCCTATCTCAGTTTATAAGAAGACCCAAAAATGAGGTTGTGTTTAGCAAAACCTATAAGTATGCTTTACAGACTCCATAAAATAAAAAATAAAAATTCTTAACTGGGAGTAGATTCAGAGACGATGTGTCTTTCGATTTTCGAAATATATGTAAAAGTTTCAACCCCTAAAAGTAGGCATTAATACGATACCAAGGTATGTTCTTCTCTCTCAGTTTATAAATAGCGCCAAAAATTAGCTTATGTTTTGCAAAACCTAAAAGTATGCTTCAGCGACTTCGGAAATTCCTGACCCGAAATAGGGTCAGAGTCGATGTGTCTTTCGATTTTAGAAGGTTAAGTAAAGAATTCAATTCCTAAAGGCCGGCATCAGTAAAACTCCAAGATATTTTCTCCTATCTCAGCTTATAAATAGACCCAAAAATAAGCTTATTTTTGGCAAAACCTAAAAGTATACTTTAGTGGTTCCGTAAAATATAAAAAAAAAAATTCTTAACTAGTAATAGATTCAGAGTCGGTGCATCTTTCGACTTTAGTATAACTGATGCAATTTTTTTTATAAAATTGTTAAGTAAAAGATTCTGACCAGAATTTACAAATTTTCATTCGATTGGCGGGTTTTAAATCTAGGCGTGAGCATATCTGTCAAAATATTTGCAAAATGATTGAATACTTTTTCTACTCTGTGTAGCAAACCTATCAGTTCTGATATGTTGTATTATATTTTAGATATGCTTAGGTTCTTAGGAGAGGGTTTCGAGAAAAGTTGTGCTTTAAATGTATTTTGCAAGAAAACTAGAACCGCGTTTGCCATTTTCATTCTATATACACCGCATAGGCAAGTATCTGGGCCAAATCCGTAGATCATATTTTAATTATTAATTACGATTAGTGTGTACTTATAGCTACGGTAAAAGCTCGGTCCGTAACACCGAGCATCGGGCATCCAAGCTAGGCTCACAGTCTATTTTTCTCTACACATAATGTTGCATGTACAGATATATATATATGTATATACATATGTATATAAGTATCATTACTTTGTAGTGATATATATAAACAAAATAAAATATAAATTCTCGATCAGCACAAGATTATTGATCAATTCCTTCTTTTTCGCTTTAGTATAGATAATCATGTGAAGAGCTTATCATATGATTAGCAGCACCTAAAAGTATGCTACAATGAATCGCAAAATTTGTACATTTACATGTTACGTTGTTTTAAAAATTGTTGATCCAACAACATATCTCCCCTCCATAGCAACTCTCTATCATTCTTTTTCCCTCTCATTTGTCCTTGAAGGAATTCTCACAAGTTATTACATAGATGGACATGCGTCACCCTTAATAAGCAATATCTAGAAATAAATATCCATGGTTTTATAAAAAAATCATATATATATATATATACATATATTGATCAATGTTAGCTTTTAAGTCAATTTATCTCGAGCCAATATATACAAGCTACCGTACGATTGACTGGCATCGCGAGGCAATCAAAAACCCGTTCATCAAATAATCAAAACCAGTTTTGAAGTCACTTTGTTTCTACCTCTCCTCTTCCCTCCTTGCTTGACTGCTTATTCGGAGAATCGACAAAGCTAAACCATGCATTGAAAACTTTTTGATTAAAATGAAATTCTCCCGAAGTTAAGTTAAAATGCTTTGCCAATTGTACGTCTACTTATAGGTATGTGAGTTGATGGGTATTCAAGATTCGCTTTAAGGCGTATGCAATTTTTTTTGTTTATTTATTTATTTTTTTCATTATAACGTATTAGCAATTGGCACTTACATGCTTAGATATATATATATATTTATATATGCGTATATGTATATGTTTATCTAGATCAGCATGAATTTTGTAATAATCATATGAAATAGAAATGTTTGCGAGTCGATGCTATTTGCAATTTATTATGTGGTCTGATTGTCTAACTTTTCAAACAATTAAGAGCTAAAAAAAGAAATAATATTTTTTTTTTTTCATTTATTTATTTATTTATTTTTGTTTTTTTTTTTGTTAAATAAATGCAAATCAAAAATATATACCACGTGTAACAATGAAAAATTACATAAACAACATTAAAAGAAGGCAGAAAATTAATTAAATATAGTTTAAAACGAATTCGTTAATTCCCACCACCAACACTTGATTTTGACTTGCGAAATTCGGTCTAAGGTCTAAGGTCTTCAGAAATTCGGAAATTGCAGCGAAGGCAAAGTAATGTCCTTACCCTAAGCTCTAAAGAACTTAGAATAGATTTTCAGTACATTCGATGGCCTTCTTAAGTAACCGCTCCAATACCTTAAATCTCGAGACTCTAATAAAAATTTCAATCATTGACAACCCGTCCGAAACTGCACAAAAATATTCAATAATTACTTTGAAGATTGTTTCAATTACTTTGTTTTCAAATATGATTTAATAAACTTGCCTAAGAATGCGTGAAGAAGATGGACGAACGGACAGATGCAAGCGTATCGAAAATTTCTGTTATTAAAAAACTATTTGAATATTTTAAGAAAATTCAGGTACACACACATACACACGCACACACACACACACACACACACATACATACATACATTTTTGAACGTTACGATGATGATTATAAAAATAATCTCAAGAATAGATAAAATCCGCGTGAATGGGTAATTAATAGTGAGAGTAACAATTCAATGATCAAAACACATTTTCCAACGCTTGGCGATGAATAATAAGAATTTTTGAAAAATCTAAAAAATTTTATGAGAACCAATAAGAAAACTAATTTAACATAAAAAGAAAAACAAAAATTCCGCAACTCATTGTTCGTTTTCCCTCTTGCTCGCTCATCTTTGCGTCTTTGTACCCGTGTAGATGACAATCCCTGGATGATTGCGGTTTAAAAGAAAACATATGAAAGCACTATAGTGGAACACGGTCTACCCACGGTCCCTAACCACTAACCTGTACTTCTTCATATAATGACTTTTCGAAATAAGATGTTATAGGGGAAGTGGTCGAAAATGTGTTTCATTTTCAATAGCTTTCGTCCTTAGGCCAAAACATGCTGTCGTAGCAAATTTCATCAAAATATATCAAAAAAATTGCGACCTATAAACTGAACAGAAGAGAACACAAGAAGGACAGACAAGCTTGGATCCATGTAGAAAATGACTCTTCTCATGATCAATTTTAAGCTTTTTTGGGTCCACATATGCTGAATATGCCCGTGCACCGCAAATGATGTACAACTTGTGCCAATTTTTTTAGATATACGTCAAAAAATTCTCTCTCTACATTACATTGTCTCTATTCTCTCATTATTTGAGATTGAACTCCCGACTCACATTCTTCACAATTGTTTGTCGACTCTTTGAATATGGAATTCTTGTTGTACGTTTAATCTAAACAGAATGTCGCTGTTGTTGATAAATGCGTAACTCGGATATAGCCTCCATGTTCTAAGTGAAACTTCGTGTAAAACTATTAGAAGTTATATGAATTCGTTACGCAATATTTTGATTTAGAAAAGAAAAAATTTTTATTTTGCTGAATTATGAAAACATATCTCAAACTTGACAAATAAGGAAATGATATTCGCCTATCACCCAATCTTTTATACCCATCATCTTTACTTTAAATAAACAAAGAAAAGGAAAAAAACACTATTTCCCTACTCTAAAATATTGAATGGGATGACTTGATTTTTATTATATTTGTGGAGTAAATGTGGAAATTTGTTTCCAGTAGCTTAGGAGCTAAAACGCAAAAATTCAGAAAGGCAAAAT